AGAGAAGATGCTCAGCCCCGTACACAACATACACAGATGAATGGGGGAGGAGAGACGAAGGAGGTGGGGCAGGTAGACAGCACTGAAAGTCACCGAGATAGAAATCTGATAGGTCACCGATATGGTAGTCCAAAATGTCATCCAACAAGATCAAAATGTCGAGGACCATAGGTCACCAATGTCGGAGATACAGAGTCCAAATGTAACCGGTGTCCGAACTGTGATGTCGCCAAGTATCAACCCCAACGATCTCCTAGTCTCCAATCCGGTAAGTACCACAGTCTCCTATCACCGAAGTCCAACTCTGATCTCTGTCCAACGAGTATAAGTCTTCAATCTGAAGAAGAAGAAGAAGAAGAAGAAGAAGAAGAAGAAGAAGAAGAAGAAGAAGAAGAAGAAGAAGAAGAAGGGAGCCGAGGAGGAGAGGGAGAGAGAGGGGACTGGCGAGGGGAGGGAGGAGAGAAGCATCCAACTCCCGGTACCTCAGGCGGTTATGGCCGCCGGTAACCCAGTCGCCGCTGCTGCTGCTCCGCTCGCTGCTGCTGCGCTGCCTGCTCCTCGCTCCTGCGCTAAACATAGCGCTCCAACGGCACTCTGGTGCCGACCTTACCGCACCGTATCGTATACCGATGGGTCGATGCCTCCAAGTGAGGCTGTACCGGTACTTTATACCGGTGGGGCAGAGGCCGGCCTCAATGCTGCGAGGCCTAGCCATGCCCTGAACCGTCCAGATGGACGGTTCAACCCCAACCGGCGGGTGGCAACCTCAAGAGCGCCGCCAGGCCCAAACGATAATGCCGTTTGGGCCTGCCCGTCGGGTACTGGTCCAAGATCAGGCCCTAAGGGCCTGTAATAACCCAAGGTCGGGCCTTTAGGCCCTGATGTGTCCCTCCGGCCCTAAGTCGGGTCCGGTAGGACCCGTGTGCGTCGAAGATGTAACACACTCCCCCTCTTAAAAGACCGAGCTACCTGCGAGGGCGAAGTTGTCTGTCCGACACCGGGGTGGGTCGGGCGGGACGAGCTGCGTCCTTAGCAAGGCGTCGCTTCTCATAGTCGACGAAGATGAGGGGTGCAGAAGTCTGCAAATCTGTACTGGAGATCCACCGAGTGTCATCAGGCGCATATTGCTTGAATGTGACTTTGTACTGCCTTGGCTTATTGCCATACTTGCGGTGCGTGATGACTCGGTCAACTTCTTGATGTCCGTCCATAGAAGGCGGATCCTGTGATCGATGTCCAGGGAACTCGTCAGCTGAAGGTGGCGTGTAGATGGCCAGCTTCGATGCGTGGAAGACCCGATGCACTGTCAGGTGCGGTGGAATGTTGATCACGAAGGAAGGACCTGCGGGGTCGTCTCCAACGGCAGAATTGACTTCCCATGGTCCGAACCATTTCGGAAGGAGTTTGCGCGAAACATCCTGCTCGAGCGCAAATTCCTCGGAGAGGACCCAAACAAGGTCTCCCTCGCGGAAAGGACATGGAAGTCGACGTCGGTTAGCCTGCTGCTGGATGCGGATCTGAGCCTTTTGCATATTTGCGCAATCTTTGATCAGCAAGTCCTGGTACTTCCGGACGGAAGCGGGAGAGCAAGGGATGTCTATGTCCGCAGCCTGTGGCAAAAGGAGATCAGCGAAGATCCGTGCTTTCTCTCCACCATGATGTAGCTCGAATGGTGTGACGCAGATCGCCGGGTGCACCGAGGTGTTGTAGGCGAAYTCGATGTCGGGAAGCCGGTCAACCCAATCTTTCTGGTCGGGACGGATGAGYGTACRCAACATCATCTGAGCSGTCTGGTGCGCTCGCTCCGTCTGACCATCCGTCTGCGGGTGCCGAGCCGAGCTCGGCTTCATTGTCGTGCCGGACTCAGTCATGAGAGAAGTCCAAAAGGCCGACATGAAGCGAGTATCTCGGTCGCTCACTATATCTTTCGGAACACCCTGGTTGGTAATCCAACCGGTGTGCAAGAGTCGTGCGAGCTCAGGTG